TCGGTCTTCACTTACAGTTGTAATCACTTACCAAACTTCCATCTAAGTGTAGAGGAAGTGGCAAGTTGTGGACTAACTTAGTTAAAAGCTTTGTTCCTTGTTTGATAGCCATTTAGTTGCAAGATTTTCGATATAGCCATTTCCTAAATTATTTTGAACATTATTATTATAAAAGCTATATTCTACTTAACCAAAAGATCACACTTATACAAACGTCAACAGATTTGTATTACTATCTGCATTTTTAAGTTCACGTTACATTTAACTAAACACATTATGAAACTTAGGAAAGTTGTTCCAGACGTTATAAAGTTGAATAATTCTATCATCTTGTTTGACAAAATTCTCCTATTGAGTCCATATACTTGCAATATGAACTTCTGACTGCGTACCGCTGAGAACACGCGTTAGGCTCCCTACACACTGGATGAAGATAATATTATTAACTATGATTACCAAAATGTTTTTGTTAATAATACATGTTTTCATTTGCCATATTACCTATGTTACGTTAAGTTTTGACATACATTTGAAAGGCAATCACTAAGGCAAGGTTTTTCACTTAGTAAGTAATATGAAAATTGTCTTTGACTGTCATACTATTTGTTTTTAGAGAATCATCTTACTCACCTCAAAATTACCTTAGTATCTATCGAGAAATGTGAAGTTGTTCGTGTCATGTGCAATGCCCTTAATGTTATGTAAGGCAGGGCAGTGCTCGGCAGGTGTGATGTCCGCGCAAACCTAGTTATCTAACACTGCAGTAACGAGGCGCAGCGACAGGTCTCCACGCGGCGACGCTGGTCACCTCGCGCGGCTGTAACGCGCTGCGATCTCCTGATTGCTGCCCACTTCCCACTACAACACGTAGTACATCCTAAATTTATACATCAATCACATTTAATTATTACCGTTTTTTGCTACGGTCGGTATATCATAGCACTACTTACTTAGCGGTAGTAAAAGTTAACCAACTATTAAATGCAGATTAAAAGAGTACGGGTAAGGGATGCTTAACATCTTTCGTCTAAAGATTAAAATAAAGATGTTGCATATGGCCAGTTTCAAATTAAACAGAAACCTGTTAAGTTAGTTGCGTGATTTGTTTTTTTTTCAAATAA